AATAAAATTCTAGAGAGAGAGAAAAAAGAGAAGGGAGAGCGAACCTGATTCAGAGATTTTCGCGAGAAGAAGAAGTGAAGAAATGAAAACCCTCACCCCCTTTTTATACAAAATCGAAAACGGTTTTCGAGAAAACTGTAATCATTGCGACGGTTCGTATTTCCGTGCTTAAATATATTCGAGAAGTCGACATGTGTCACGTCCCAGAAGACGAAGAGTTTCCGGTTCAATAAAAGCGGTTTACGAACCCGACCAAAGTAAGACCCGACCTGATTAGCAACCTGATTTGCAATGTAATCGGTCGTATATGCGGTCCCGACCTCTGACACGGTTTAAATCCCGTCCTTGAATCGCACCCAGGAATTTGTGTAGATTGACGTAGCTTTCGAGCACCCCGTGCTTCGAAATGCCCCGATCTCAATTTATACCGAGCTACCTTTTTCTCATGTTCTCCTAACTTGTTACTCAGATCGTCGAACTGGGGGGGGGGGGGGGGACTAATTGTTAGTGATGGGTTTAGCACCTCTTGCTAAAAGCCCTTCATAAATTGAGACAAGGTCTATTTGAAGCCCCTCCACTTCCGAGTCTAGGTCGGCGCTCAAATATGGAAATATCCGAAGATATATTCGTATCGCGGAAGAAAAGGAAAGAATAACCCGAGAAGAAAGGAAACTATCCTAATCCCGAAGGAGAAGGATTATTCTCAAGACGGTCTACAAAGGCTATATAAGAAGAGTCCCCTCCCTCGAAGATCATTCATTCACAACTTCCGATTCGAAACCTAGAGCAAATAATAGCTTACTGCTTCCAGTTCTAGATCTCGGTTCTTTACTCTTAAAATTTAGGTCGGCGTTCTTATCCAACGACTTAAATCTTTTGTACCCTTCGAGCTCCGACTAAATTCAATACAACTATATCTTTTGCCCCTGTAATCTTTATATTTTCTCTTATAGAGATATCTAAATCTTATCCTCATGTTATTTCTATTCAATAATTTTTCAGTGTCTATTTAGTTTAATCTCTCCCCAGGACTGTAGGAGGACCGAATCTATTTAGCTTTTAATTAACAGTTCTTAATCAACTTTTCTCTCTTTAATTTTATAAAAAATCAGAAAATTTATATAAATATTTTTATTTTTATAGAAATTTTTCTAAACATCAGTAAAAATAAGATTCATATGTTTCGCTCAAACAAAACAAGTGGACGAACCAAATCTATCGTCATGTGAGCTGTGTCTGTGTCTGACGGGGGACGAGAACTTATTATAATAAGTCCAAACAAAATTTCTTCCAAACTAATGATTCATTCACACAAGATACAAATTTCATTGTTCGTACATTTCATGCTTCTCTTTGCAAACTATTAACAAAGTTAATTCATACATATAGATGATCAGGTAAACGTCTACTAGTAGATTACTCTAAATCCAAACCAACTTAATCAATTTGCTGTTAACATTTAATAGATTTGATACTAAGAGGAGCTTAATTGTGTATTTGTAGGTCATTTCCGTCAAGATGCTCATTTGCTAATAAAACATGGTCCGTGTCCCGTAGGGTTTAGTCTTACCATCCACAAACTGGTTTTTCGAGAAAAAAATTATACAAAACTAATCAAGGATTGACTACATACATACACAACACAAAGCAATTCAAATTTTACATTTTAGTTAATTTAATTCACCATGAAAATAGTAAGGTGCTACAGTTTGTCTAGTTGTTGAAGTGGTGAGTTTAGCAACCAAGAGAATGTGTATATAAGTAACTGATGCATTTTTAATGTTATGTGTAGATCTTAAATACGCCCTCAAACTATTTTCTTATGTTTGTTCTCAACACTTCCATCTGCTTAAAGTAAAATTCGGTTGCAGCCAACATTGTTTGATAATATACAAAATCAAATATTTGGTGCACAACACAATTTAAAGCTGTTTAATTGTTATTTTCCATTTCTATTTTTCTCTACTAGTCATGAATTCATGATTCTTTCTTATTCTTCCATGCATTCGACACAACGAAAAGAAAAACTTCTATAGGTTCAAACGGAGTTCATGGGTGGGATCGAAGAGGAATCTAAGGGCTCCACAATCGTTTTTTTGTTAGCTTTGTATCTTAGTCTAAATATAAGGAAAATACCATAAGAAAAAGAGACCAATCACGTGAAAAACCTTATGGTAAAATTCACATAAGATGGCCCCGGAGGCTTTTTGACAAGAGCCAATAAAGGAAATACTGAAATTAAAAAAATCATTAACTTTATTGACAAAAGTCACAAAATGCAGTTCTAAGTGGGCCTCACAGTATAATACAAAGATTCGAATAATTAATAATATGAGATCAGAACTTTGACTATTTCCACTTATAATAAGTCCTCCGAGACGAGAGGCGAAGATGGTTTTTTTGTTGTTGTTAGAGTTGGTTTTACTTAACAATACGAGTTTTAATGATTTTAAGACAAAATAAATATAGCAAGGAATCGAGTTACAAGAATGGTAGTTGACAATTCAGTATTTTGCAGTCATTCGTAACATATCTATTTTTAGTAGGTAGTACGTAATTTATCAGACGTTTTATTATATTTTTAGCAAGTCTTGAATTTGCTTACATGTTCGTATAAAATGGTTCCTGTCTCCTGAAATCGATGATATAAAGCAATTAGCTTCAAAACGTAACGTATATTGTTCAAGAAGAAGTTCATGAAATCAATTTCTTACTTCTTTGAATTTGTTTTTAATCCACTGTTTCTACTTACTTTGTTACCAATGAAGAAGTGTAGAGGTTGCATAGCTTCCAACACCATATATATCTAGAGATTAATATCGTAATTTATAGAACTTCTTCAATAATATCCAAGTGTGTTATGTTACTCTATACTAAATTACTAATATGTATATACTCATTCTAAAAACACTTTGGTAGTTATCAGAAAAATAAAATTAAAAAACGCTTGAAAATGTGACAAGTGATAAAAAGTCGAAGAAGTGATCATAAATCTTAATACTATAGGTTCTGTAATTACAAATTGATGATAAAAGACAAACTGTTACAAAAGTGGAAAAAGAAGATTACTTTACGTAATGCAGGCGTTTAAATGAACTCCTCTCATCGTTCGTGGAAAATGATACAAACAATGACTTTTTAGACATTATGATTGGTAACAATAATTTTATTGGACATGTGAGGAGGCAAAGTGTATATCTTTATATCTATACTGTTTTTTTTTTCCTTTCTTTCTCCAAATATGTCGCCTAACATCACGTAATTAACCCTATACTTAGCTTACATTATAGTAACCTAACATCAACTTTAATAATAATCCAACAATCACGCCCATTTAGCCAATCCTAATTTTGGCACAAGCTCTCATGAGAAATGAAGAAACACACTCATGTATGATTGTTTGTGCGCGTGTGCGGTATATATGGACAACGTGGCTATCTTTCCTTGGTTGGATATTGCTTGGATTGCAAGATTGTCAGGAGGTGAGACCGTAAATATGGATATTCCTAAAATTTTATATTGATTTAGTCGAACTAATTGGATGTACGTGTTCATATTCCGATCCTCGTACTCAGTTCAAGCCAGTCCTCACCAACTTGATGCATGAAGTCTCATTTTGAGTCCTGACTAGTTTTTGGCTTTAGGATTTACAGTTGGTTTTACAATTCTAAAGTTTTGGTGATTTCATATTAAATACACATAATGTATAGTGTCAAATGGTTAAAAGATTCACCTTTTAAATAAGGATGCGCTAGATTCATCTAAAACCATTATTAATTTTCGCCTTTAATACCATATGCAATGGTTAAACCAATTTTTATTGTTATACTAAATAGTAGAAGCATTGGTCTTTAATCAAGATTATATTGTAAACTACTTACAAATTTTACAGAAAATAGGTTGAGGCCTTATATAGTACATAAAAAGAAAAATACTAGTCAGTTCATTACTTTTCTATAAGTTCTGAAATGAAGCTTGTAAACTCGTATTGCCTAAGCTGAACTGAAATGGATATGTTGACAATGAATTATAGAAAAGAATGATGATTTTAAAAGTATATGTTAAAAATCCCATAAATATCTGCATCAACGTACATACACTGAAATTATTTGATGGGTTTGTGTAATTTTTGAATCTTTACTTTGGAATTTTTTTGACTGCCACTGACTTCTTCATCCAAAAATCATCTAAGATCTTACTTATATCATGTCGAAGATCGAAATAGACATGTCGAAAACATTGCAATATACGTTTTGGGAAACGAACCATAGGAATTGTGGGCATTGAATGTTAAATGGTAATGTCCTATATGTATACAAAGTTTATAACAAGATATGTGAAATGTATTTAATCGAATCAAATCTACACTTAAATATATTTAACGGGAATTTTTTTTTCTTCTGGTCAACAACCGAGACTTCTTAATACAGTACTACTAATTAGCATTCATCTTATATATATAACTCGTGCGAAAAATTTATAGTAACGTCACATCAGTTTTATAATTAAAAAAAGGTGAAAATCTGACAACTGATTCAAAAACTAAAGCCTGCCTTCCGTTTGTTAAATCCATTTGAACCTTAAGGATATACTCATATCGTGTTACAGTTTAGGTAAATTAGATATTACATTTTTATTGAAACAAAAGAGCTTTAAAGAAAAATTGGAGACCGCTTCCTCGAGACAAGCAGATTCTCAATCCTCGAGACTGTCAGTGGAAAACAACTCTCTCTCTCTCTCTCTCTCTCTCTCTCTCTCTCTCTCTCTCTCCTCTTCCAAAAGAACCAAAGAAAAAAAAAAATGCAAAAGCCCATTATTATTACTAAAGCAAAACCACACTCTAAAAAGCCACTTACGAACACTGGTCAGTAAAACAGAGGAGAGAAGAACCAAGCCATGTCTCACTCAAGTCTCTTCTTCTCTCACCTCTAACTTAGCAAAAACCCTAAATCCCAAAAATCCCCAAATCCCTAAATCACCAGTTCTATTTTCTTCTTACAATGATGCTTCAAAGAAGCTGCATTGTACTTTTCTCTCTTTCTTTGTTCGTCCCACACATGTGTTTCGCCATGCTCAACAAAACTCTCCTTCTCTTACCACATCCCGACCCTGAACTAGTCGCTCTTGATGTTCATAGGTACACATACTACATTTCCTCTTATGGATCTGCATTTTGTCTCTAATTTCAGATTCTTTCCTTCTGCGTTTTACCTTTGACAAGCTATTCTCGTGAATCTTGGGTTGCTCTGTTTCTATAGTCTCGGTTCAACCGTACTGACTGTAATTATCCGGTTTAATTGTTTTTACAGGAGAGTAAATGCTTCTATATCAAGACGTCAAGCTCTGGACACGACGGACCAAGCCGGTTCAAGCCCATGCTTCACCGGGAACCCAATCGATGACTGTTGGAAATGTGACCCAAACTGGCCCAATAACCGACAAGGGCTAGCCGATTGCGGAATCGGGTTCGGACAGTACGCCTTGGGAGGCAAAGGCGGTCGGTTTTACTTCGTCACTGATTCTTCCGACCATGATGTGGTCGACCCTAAACCGGGCACTCTCAGGTACCTATATCCAGACATTTTGTTAAACGACTAAACCGGAATTCATTTAACAAAGTCTTTTGTAGTCTAGACAAACAGACAAAAATGTGTTGGTTTTTTTATTGGTTCAAGACAAATTTCACATTTTTTTGTTCATTTTTGACATCTTGAACTCTAGATTTTTTTTCTTTTCTTGAGCCATTAGTTAGCAATACTATATACTTTAATTATTGTTGTTTTAACCTAAACCCTACCTATTAATTTAATTAAAATCCTATATGAAATAAGATTCTGTTTAAGCTCCGTTTATCTATTCCGCAATAACTTTCTTTTCTTTCTCTGTCTCTCTTTTGTCATCTCTTTTATTCACATGCCCCACACCAATCTATTACGTACGACTTTTTCAACACCACTTGTTTATAATTCAAGACATGAAAATTGCCAATTAAGCCCTCTATTCCTGAAAAAACTCCCGAAGACCCTAAAACGAGCCACAAAAACCCTCAAAATTCTTTATAAAACGTTTGAAAAGCTCTATGTTTTGATTAATTATCCGTTTTAAAACATGGAAATGTAATGTTAACGACGTTTTATAATTTGTCGTCCCTACAAACATTTCTAATTTTAGCGTTGTCCCTTGGAAGTGTCCCACCCGGTTCACATGTTAGATAACTAAAGTAGGTAGAGAGGCTCGCATGCAAGACCAGTTCTATAATATTTGGGATCTTACAACGATTCCAAAAATTGGAAAATAAAATATTTAAAAAACCTAAGCCTCAAATCAATTTGGTCCAACTCTTGAACAAAGAATAAAAATGTTTAGAGAATAAACAAGTATAATAAAAACAAGTGTATTGGGACCTACAAACAAAAATTACAAGTGTATTGGGACCTCCAAAAAATTGGAATAATTTAGGGAATCTTTATGAATGTCAAAGGAATCGGGTTTTACAATGTGAAAATACACGTATAAAGATGCTGCTGAAATTTTGGTGACAGATACGGAGTGATACAAGTAGAGCCATTGTGGATAGTGTTCCCAAGCAACATGATGATTAAACTAAAGCAAGAGCTAATATTCAATAGTTACAAGACACTTGATGGAAGAGGAGCCAATGTTCATATTGTTGGTGGTGGTTGCATCACTCTTCAATATGTCTCTAATGTCATCATTCACAATATTCATATCCACCATTGTTACCAATCCGGTAATTTACTCTCTTTTTTACTGTCATTAATTGTTATGTTTCACCTTTTTTAATGTTCTTCCCACAGATAATTATTGCCCTGACCCGAATAATTTAGTAGGTCCCCTTTTGGTGTACATATTTTTCCTTCTCATTCGTTGGTGTTTTCACACGCAAATAAAGAAAAAATTGTATTTTGAATACTCAGCATTTATTTAATACTTCATAAAAGCAATAATCTTGGTTACAAAAGTAAAAAGAGTAAATCTTTCGTCCGTCTTGAATTATTAGTTAGTTCATGAAAGCATTCTGTAATTGTTTGTGCACGCTTTCTCTCGCCAGGGAATACTAACGTGCGGTCAAGTCCAACGCACTACGGATTCAGGACGAAATCGGACGGCGATGGTATCTCCATATTCGGATCAAAGGACATATGGATCGACCATTGTTCTCTATCAAGATGTAAGGACGGTCTGATAGATGCTGTGATGGGATCCACAGGGATTACAATATCGAACAACTTCTTTTCTCACCACAACGAAGTCATGCTTCTTGGTCACAGCGACCACTACGAGCCAGACAGTGGCATGCAGGTCACACACACACACACACTAATCCATTATATAATCCCTTTTTCTAATCGCTATTCATTTATTTGATTATAAAATGTTTGTGTAATTTTTTCAGGTAACAATTGCGTTTAATCACTTTGGAGAGAAATTGGTACAAAGGATGCCAAGGTGTCGACGTGGATATATCCACGTGGTTAATAACGATTTCACTCAATGGGAAATGTATGCGATTGGTGGTAGCGGTAACCCAACTATTAATAGTCAGGGTAACCGCTATACCGCTCCAACGAACCCATTTGCCAAAGAGGTAACTAAACCGGAATGATTCAACAATGTTGCTTAGTCTATCTTTATGTCAAGTTGATTAAAACATAAATGTTTAAGAAGCTGACATGAATATTGTTTTGTGTAGGTGACTAAAAGAGTAGAAACGCCAGATGGCGATTGGAAAGGGTGGAATTGGAGATCGGAGGGAGACGTTTTGGTGAACGGAGCGTTCTTCATAGCGTCTGGAGAAGGTGCGGAAATGAGGTACGAGAAAGCGTACAGCGTCGAGCCTAAATCCGCCTCGTTCATCGACCAAATCACGTTTCATTCTGGCGTTCTCGGCGTTGGCGGCAGGTTTGGATTCTCTACATTTTGTATATATACAAACTACAATAATCACTCGTACCCGATTTTTCTTTTTCGAAAAAAGAAATTGTCATTTTTAAACAAAGAAAATGAAAAAACACTTTGAATCTTCTTTTTTACCAAAACAAATTATAAAATCGTATTGTATGTATGTATATGCTCTTTTTTGTTTCGATTATTTTGTTTTCTACTACTTTTGCCTTTAACTTTTGCTTTTTCTTTTGTCTAATTTATTTTCACCCCACTAGTTTATAATCATCGCTCATTAACCCGAAAAAGTCAAATGGAGCTAATTGAGGGTGTTTAATTGTGCAGGAATAACAATTTGGGGATGTGGACTACTACTGGATCCGAAGGTAATGGCGGTTTAGATTCTTATAATGACTATACCGATGAAATGTCTGGAACTGGTTCAACTAACCGTTTATCTTTTTCGGTTATTGTTTTAGCTTTCATGCTCAATTTGTTATCATATTTGGTCATGTTCACTTCTTCGACCCCAAGTGTTTATGTTGTTGTAACATGACTTTACCAATTTAATCAAGGAACAAGAAAAAGATTGTTTCCAAACTCATTCTTGTGTATTCCTTTTCTTCTTTGGTCTAACCGCTTCCTTTTTAATTGTTCTTGAGAAGACAAAACATTACTGTTGGATGAGTTTAATACTCCGCAAAATGTAGATTAGATTGTCGTTATGAGCTAAGACACCAATAGACAAATTAATAAGACATCGATGTCTTGGCTCACGCAAACTGAAATTTGTATCTATTAAATAATCAATCACATTTTAAATAATTGTCCAGAACGATCTCACTATTGGTACCATCTAGGCCTAGTACCATCAATCAATCTAAGGTTTTAATGGACATCATATATTTGTATAATTGTATTAGTACCACGTGTGTCAGTGTCATATACTCACATATTGTGTATATATATGTAACCATGAGTCCATGACGTTGTAGTAGTCTATCCTATCTTACTACATAACATAACAACTAACAGAGATTATATATTATCTTCTTCCTTATGTGTTTCATTATTTTTTTGAAAAATATGTCTTTCATTATTTTATACAAGAAGGCATACCATACATGCATCTACACTTCATACTATATAAGTATATCACTTTAGGATATTGTAGTTTACTGTATTTAACATTAAAATACTTTTTCCACTAAATAAATAAAATATTTAATTTTTTTAACAAATTATTTGGCACAAAAGTACACCAAACAACTAACTTAATTCAGATTAAAGATAGAGCCCATCAAGGCATCAACCAATAATGTTAACAAAAAAAAACATTCTTAGTTTTTCATTTATTGGAGCATGAACTTCTCATGATTTTGTTCTTGTGTATATAACAAGGCCTGATCGTACACATCAATGTTACATTTTTATTTATTTTGCTATTTGTTTTGAAGTTGTCCTGTTTTATCCTGTAAAAACTAACAAATTTATGTTCGACTTTGACCTAATTTGTTGACTACAGTAGATTGTATAACTAACTTGAACTTTAATTTACGATTAAAACTTCAATTAGTTGAGTTCAAACTGTACATAATAAGCTTGAACATTTGGAAAAACTCTATTCACTATAGCACTTTAGAATTCAATCATCCAAGAGTACAGTAACAAAAAAAGCTCAACTAAATGATCAGCCAAGACATAGATTTATCAACAGCAACAGTTAAACGATGTTTCATCATATAATCGGGAAACAAACTTTAAAATTATGACCATAGAGAACATGAAAACTCTTCAAAGTCCCTAGTCTCTTGAAACCACCAAGAACCAACGTTAATATTAATATTGTTCTCACTGCTACTGCTGCTATGGTCTTCTAAAAGTTTTGCGTCACTTTGATCGGTAGAAATTTCTGATATCCAATCCGAAATCCGGTTTTCATATGGTGAACTCATAACACCGAATCTCTCTCTTTCACAAATACCACCATTGGTTTCTTTACCACTCTCCATATTTCTATGCTTAGATGTCTTCACAGTTTCATCAAAACCATGTTCTTGAGTCTCCGTCCTTGTCCACGTGATCTCTGCTTCCTTATACTTGCGCCACAAATCTTCTCCCGTATTTCCTCTCCAGTCAATGATCTTATCTATAGAAAAACACATCATTTTCTATTAAATGCTTATCTAAATTTAGCATATGCAACGATGAAAAGAGCGATAAAAGTATATCTACCATAGTTTTGAGCTTCCACTTTCTTTCTAAAATGAGTCCTCCAATAGTTCTTAATCTCGTTATCAGTCCTACCGGGTAATCTTCTTGCAATCTTTGACCACCTATTGATATACAATATTTAGTTCAAACTGAAAATACAATCATTGATGTATAAGTTTCAACTTTTATGTGTTTATAGTTTTGGTCTCTCACTTGTTACCCCAGAGAGCATGGAGCTGAAAGATGACCATTTCTTCTTCTTGGCTCATCGGTCCACGCTTCAGACTCGGATTAAGATAGTTCATCCACCTTAGCCTGCAACTCTTGCCACTCCTCTTCAAGCCTAAGTATGAACAAATCAAACAAAATATTGTTAGACATATGTAAACTTTCTAATTATGGAAAGCGATACAAGAAAGGTTTCAAAGTGTACCGGAAACTCTTGCTAAAGAATCCCAACGACGTTCTCCCAAAAGAGTAACGAACTTCACTAGCCTTTCATCTTCTTCTTCAAGCCATGGACCTCTACGGAGTGTTTCTTCCTTCTTACAATCCATTTTTCTCTTCTTGTTTTTTTTGGCACTTAAACTAAATTTGTGCTTTTAACTTGTAAGCTTGGGCTTAGTCTTTGCTTAAATAGTACAATCATGAGTATACCCAAATTAGGAAATGTCCAAAAAGCTGACGAACACAAATGAGTTAGTGGATAATAACATCATGCATCAGTTAGGTTCTTGTTTTTCCGTCTTGGTCATCTTTAAGTTAATAGATTATAGATTTGGATTAGGAGCCAAGTATATCCTCTATTTTATATCACCATGCATCAAGTTGTGATCATTTTTATTTGATCAACTTCCTTTTTTCAGGGTTTATGGCTTACATCATCTTAGAAATCCAATAAAATTTATCAAATATCCAATAAGGAATTCAATTTATTAGGGGTTTAAAAAGAAGATGAAGTATTTAAATGGGGTTGAGATAGTAAGATAAAACCAGATCTTTCTGTATCTTCTCTCCACTCATTCAAAAGTGTAGGCCAACGAAGCATTCTTAAGTTTGATTAGCTTTTTAATTAATCGCTGAACTCTCATTAGCTTAAATCCTGAAGTCGACCAAAGAGAGTTTAAAATCGACGCATCTAAACCATAATCAAAGAACATTGAAACGCTGTGAAATGCAGTTTAATTAAGATGGGGTATACCGTATACGAGTACACGACGATCAAAAGATGAGGTAAATGCTTTTAAGAACAAGTGAAACTTCACGTTTAAACACATGAATATTGACCTAAGCAAATCACCCAAATTTCTTACTTTTGGAGTAAGCTTTAAGAACACGTAATTGAGGTAAAGTTCCAAAAAAAAAAAAAAAAACACGTAATTGAGCCGGTTAACGAAATCCGTCGATGTTGAATTTGGTTTGGTTAAAATCGGTTCAGTCTTAAATCGTTTGGTTTGGGTTTGGTTAATTGTAGGTAGACAGTCTTGTGTGGTTTTTGATTGGAGGTTTATGTACGCGAAAGGATCAAAAATGGCAATTTCGAATAACCAAAGACAAGAACAAAAATGAGAAAGCAAGAATCGGAGGGAGCAAGTCCGGATTTGGAATCCGACCCGAATCGCAATGGCAACCTGAAAATCGCACCGAGCGATCAAAGTCTGCTTACAATTCTTGACGACATCAGATCTTCCAAATCTCCGGTTATTACAAGCGACAACTATGCATTTCATAGACGTTAAGACCCCCAAGTGGTGTTCTTCGTAATCTAATTAATCTTCTTGTTTTTGGTCTCTGATTCGCAGGCTGTTATTAACTACGGAGCTTCGTGGTATGAATTGGTTTGTCTGTTTTATTTTACAAAAAAAACACATTTCATGCTTACAAAGTGTTCGATGGAATGCCTCAACGAGAATGTTAAGGTTTCTGAGTTTGCGTTTTGATTTTGAAAATTTTCAGGTGTGGAGTTTGTAGCCAGATTCTGCCTGCATTCCAAGAGCTCAGCAAGAGTTTCTCGAGGCTCACGTTTGTTTACGCAGATATCGACGAGTGCCCTGAAACCACCAGGCACATCCGTTACACTCCGACGTTTCAGTTTTACAGAGACGGAGAGAAAGTCGACGAGATGTTTGGTGCCGGTGAAGATAGGCTCCATGATCGTCTTTGGCTTCACTCCTGAAATCCTCATGTCTTCATCGAAATCGAATTTATGAAATCTGGCATTCCTTTTGTTGAAATACATATATATAGGCAAATAACACCTTAATGATGGCTCTTATAGTTCTTATGACTTCTCCATGTTTTCTAAGGTATAGTTTTTCTACTTTTTGTCACTTTTCCTTCTCAAACTCCATATGCCTTTCTTGATGTTTGAGTTGTTGTTTCTCGACATTCTTACTCTTCTTCTCGAGATCCATATTCTCTTGCGCAACCCTTCAGCATTTACTACTCAAGATTCTGGGCCTGGTTGAAGTTTATGTTATGGTTATTGGATTACTTATGCTGATTCTTCAAAACCAGCACAATGCAGAATCATTTCACTATCTCAAGATAAAAACAACAAAAATACTATCGTGTTTTTCAATGACGAGGATAAGATCTTAAACTATATAAATTATTTCTTGTATCAGTGAAAAATAAGAAAAGGTTCCAGTTTTAAAATCCATAAAACTATCTATAATTTTGGGCCACGGTGGAGATCGGACGGTCCATACTATTCGGCCGAACATTCTCGAATATCAGCCATTAAGACCGACAAGAAAATAAGAAAAAAATACTTTTCTTTGATGACAAGAAACGGATTTATCCTCTTCTATATAAACACACCTGTGACCTGCCTCTGTACTTATTCGCAAAAGAAAACGAACTGATTACTTCACCCAATTTTCCACATATCTTCTTCTTTCTCTTTGCGAAGCTCTCTCTCTTCTACTCGAAAACCAGCCATGGCGAATCAAGCTGAATCATCTGATTCGTAAGTACTTGCAGATTTCCGAGTAGCTAGAGCTCTAGATTTCGTTAATCCTTTTTCGGAGTAGCTAGAACTCTAGTTTTTTTTTTCTCTATTCGATCTAATTTCGTTTTCTTCTGGGTTATTAATCATTCAGGAAGGGAACGAAGAAGGATTTTAGCACCGCGATTCTGGAGCGGAAGAAGGCGGCGAATCGTCTGGTTGTGGATGAGGCGATCAACGATGACAACTCCGTCGTCTCTCTACACCCTGCGACCATGGAGAAGTTGCAGCTCTTTCGTGGAGATACCGTTCTACTTAAGGTTTGATTTTGATCCTCTTTACTGAATTCGCGTAATTACAGGGTTTTGTCGTGTGAATGTTCTGTGTTTGATTCTTCTGGGTTGATTATGCGAGATTAGGGTTTTTCGGGGATCATCAGAATTTTCTAGATAGGCTTGCCGCTTGCGTTTGATCGGAATTGGGATAATTGTTGGGTCTCTCCAGTTTTATGCCTTTTTGTTGTCAAGTGAATGTGTTGCTTATGTTGTGTGTGTATGATGCAGGGAAAGAAGAGGAAGGATACTGTGTGTATTGCTTTAGCTGATGATACATGTGATGAACCAAAAATTAGGATGAACAAGGTTGTTAGGTCGAACCTAAGGGTTAGGCTTGGAGACGTTATCTCTGTTCATCAGTGCCCTGATGTTAAGTATGGGAAGCGTGTTCACATCTTGCCCATAGATGATACCATTGAAGGAGTCAGTGGAAATATATTTGATGCATACCTTAAACGTGAGTATATGCTCTTTCTCTTTTTATCTCTCTATTGTCCTCTGCTTATTTGTATCTTCAACACTTTAGTTTAATGTTATTTATCTATTCGTTGGATTTTGTGTTTTGACAGCTTATTTCATGGAGGCATACCGTCCGGTGAGGAAAGGTGATCTTTTTTTAGTAAGAGGAGGGATGAGAAGTATTGAGTTTAAGGTTATTGAGACGGATCCCGCCGAGTACTGTGTGGTTGCACCGGATACAGAGATATTCTGTGAAGGTGAGCCGATAAAGAGGGAGGATGAGGAGAGGTTGGATGAAATTGGGTATGATGATGTTGGTGGTGTGAGGAAACAAATGGCTCAGATTCGTGAACTTGTGGAGCTCCCGTTGAGGCATCCACAGCTCTTCAAGTCCATTGGTGTGAAGCCTCCCAAGGGAATCTTGCTCTACGGACCGCCTGGTTCTGGGAAGACTCTGATTGCTCGTGCTGTGGCTAACGAGACTGGTGCGTTTTTCTTCTGTATCAATGGTCCAGAGATTATGTCGAAGCTCGCTGGTGAGAGTGAAAGCAACCTCAGGAAAGCGTTTGAGGAAGCTGAAAAGAATGCTCCCTCGATCATTTTCATTGATGAGATCGATTCCATTGCTCCGAAGAGAGAGAAGACACACGGAGAGGTTGAAAGACGGATTGTTTCTCAGCTCTTGACGCTTATGGATGGACTTAAGGCCCGAGCCCACGTGATTGTCATGGGAGCGACCAACCGTCCGAACAGCATTGACCCGGCTTTGAGGAGGTTTGGACGATTCGACAGGGAGATTGATATTGGTGTTCCTGATGAGATTGGTCGCCTTGAGGTTCTCAGGATTCACACCAAGAACATGAAGCTCGCAGAAGATGTAATTTTCTTTTTTATAGATGTTTTCTTCTTCTCTTCTGCCTTTTCTGTTTGTCAGACCTGACATGATTTTGCTCCTTTTTCCAGGTTGATTTGGAAAGAGTATCCAAAGACACACATGGCTATGTTGGTGCTGATCTTGCAGCATTATGCACTGAAGCGGCTCTCCAATGCATCAGGGAGAAGATGGATGTGATCGACCTAGAAGACGACGAGATAGATGCTGAGATTCTCAATTCTATGGCTGTGACTAATGAGCATTTCCAGACTGCTCTTGGTAACAGCAATCCTTCTGCTCTACGCGAGACGGTGAGTTCAAGGGTTTGGTTCACAGTTTCTCAGTCTATTAAATTATATTCGTCTTTAACTGATATTTTCTCCTTCATCCAGGTCGTTGAGGTGCCTAATGTTTCTTGGGCGGACATTGGTGGTCTTGAGAATGTCAAGAGGGAACTCCAAGAGGTAACTTGAGAAATTCAATAATTCAATAGCTACTTTAATATTGACAAGTGAAGTATATGGACTAATTAATCTACTCAAATCTTGCTATGTTTTAGACTGTTCAATATCCAGTCGAGCATCCTGAGAAGTTCGAGAAGTTTGGGATGTCGCCGTCTAAAGGAGTCCTTTTCTACGGCCCTCCTGGCTGTGGAAAGACCCTTTTGGCCAAGGCTATCGCGAACGAGTGTCAAGCCAACTTCATTAGCATCAAAGGTCCTGAGCTCCTCACAATGTGGTTTGGAGAGAGTGAAGCCAATGTGAGAGAGATATTCGACAAGGCACGCCAATCTGCTCCTTGTGTTCTTTTCTTCGATGAGCTCGACTCCATCGCCACTCAGGTATTGTGTCGGTCATCACTTAAACCCCTTTTATTAGTGCAAGTTTATGTGTGTTACCTTTACCTAAAAAGATTCAATGTTATAACAGAGAGGGAGCAGTGTTGGAGATGCTGGTGGTGCAGCAGACAGAGTATTGAACCAGCTTCTTACAGAGATGGATGGTATGTCTGCCAAAAAGACTGTCTTCATCATCGGAGCAACAAACAGACCAGACATCATCGACCCTGCACTTCTGCGTCCTGGTCGTCTCGATCAGCTCATATACATTCCTCTTCCTGACGAGGAGTCTCGTTACCAAATCTTCAAATCCTGCCTGAGGAAATCGCCAGTGGCTAAAGATGTTGACTTGAGGGCTCTTGCTAGGTACACGCAGGGCTTTAGCGGTGCAGACATCACAGAGATTTGTCAGCGTTCTTGCAAGTACGCGATCAGAGAGAACATCGAGAAGGTATATCTAATTCTTGAAGTAACCATTTACTTTGTTTCTTTACTGTTATCCGAGACTTATGATCTGTGATTGTTATAGGATATTGAGAAGGAGAGGAAGAAAATAGAGTCACCAGAAGCAATGGAAGAGGATGAGGATGAGATTGCAGAGATCAAAGCTGGTCACTTTGAGGAATCCATGAAGTTCGCTAGGAGATCAGTGAGCGATGCAGACATTCGCAAGTATCAGGCTTTTGCTCAGACTCTGCAGCAGTCGCGTGGAATTGGAAGCGATTTTAGGTTTCCAGAAGCAACAGGGGCTGGAGCCGCCGCCGCCACGGCTGGAGCTGCTGACCCGTTTGCTACCGCCGGAGGAGCAGCCGACGATGATGATCTCTATAGTTAAATAATCTGATCAAGAGTCTTGTGACTGCTCTCTTTAGTTTGTTCTACATAAAACCCCTTTAGCAAGCTATCTCCTCTTGTCGTGTTTTATTTAATGTCTTATAAAATTAATCGTTGAGTGAATCTTAAGTTAAAAGACTATGGACTTGTAAAATCGTTGTTCTGATCCCAACCCATGACGATGAGTTGAGTTCCAAATCTGCAAATTTCTAACTTTAATTGATGACACAATCTAAAAGGTTAAAACACACAAAAAAAAACTCTTTTATCGGAATTGTTTTGGGCCTTTAGGGAGTCGGGGCCTGTATCGGTTGTTAAGTATCCAGATTATAAGAAAAAATGGAGAAGAGGTAAAAACTTTTGTCGTGGGTAAGTAATATGTGAAAACGAGCAGGCTTTTACTGTCTCCCCAGGTTTTGTCAGGCTGGTCCAATATCGTTTTTTGTTTTGTCAACAATAGGAAGAAAAAAAAGGACCAGTCTGGTCCATTTTAGCAAACGACATAACGATGTTGTTGTGGTCGTCTATCGAAACCAATCTCAGTTTTTTTCCATGATTAAAAAAGAGATTTGGATTCTTTTGATTATTTCCAATATGAATTTATAGTGTTTGTCAATTTTTTTTTTAATTTTTGCATACATAGATGCAAAAAGAGAAGATTGTGAGTAGACTCTTGTTTTGTCGTTCTTCATGATTGTGTATCGCATATAACAATTACAAGAATTCATAAATAGTACGTATAGCTTCATAAGAGCATATACAATCTACCTCTATTTTAGAGGGAAAAATAGAGTTTAAAGAAAAAATTTCTCCAATCCACCTCTATTTTTACCTCTAAAATAGAGGTTGCTATTTTTCCCTCTATATTTGGAGGAACTCTATTTGTTCCTCTATAATAGAGATACACTTTTTTATTTATAAACTGGTCCCTTAACTTTTACATCTTTTTTATTTTTATTTATGTAACATATAAAAAGTTCAATTAAATATTTGCATAATCTAGTTTGTATATATCCAATAAATAGCCATATATCTAACATATAAATTTAATTAAATTATAAAATATTAAATAACTTTAATAAAGTGTAATAAAATCAACATCATTTCAGATAATAACTATTATAGAAAAACAGAAAACATTATTTACTTTAATTAACTATATAATTTATAAATG